GGCTGCGTCCTCCTGCCTCCCACTCCCGGGGGGACACGGCTCTGAGGGCAGGGACGGTGTGGAGTTTGCCCCGTGGTGGCCCCCATTGGCGGCCATCCCGCTACCGGGGCCCTCCGGCTGCTGTGCTGCTTTCCGTGGATCTCGGAGCTGGAAGCAGCGGGAGAGTTTGGCTGTGGTGTAGGAAAAGGGTTGGAGCAGATGCACGCTGTCTGGAGGTTGCGAGAGCTGCATAAAAGCACAGGCTCTCCCGGCACCCGAGGAGACTCACAGCTGCCCTCATCGTATGGTTCAAAGAGAGCTGGCGGCAGCCCGGCCGCTCCTGACTGCTTCTCCCTCCAGCTTCCCTGGAAACCGCCTGGGAGACGTTTTTATTTTCCAGGCGCTGCAGTGCCATCCGCAGCTTGCCAAGTTGGCAGGTGGATGGTGGGTTTGCGTGGTAGCCAAGAAAGGACGGCAGATCGACAAATACAGAAATGTGAGACTGTTCCCGAGCTGCCAGCGTCAGGGCCTGGAGCCCGGCCGGCTCTGCTGTGACCCAGGAAGGGGATTATCAGCAACTCCTGCCCGGGGACTTTAAGTACCGACACTCAGATTCTTCGGAGTTCTGTTCAAACATGTTTTCGAGGTCCTCGTGATTCAGCTGCATGCCTCTCTGCCAGCCCGCGCTGGGGAATACCTGCCCGTGCCCACACTGCTCTGTGTCTATCAGAGGTGGGAGCTAGCTTGGAAAAACCCTCTCACAAAATGCCCACTGTTTTTGCAAGGCCCACGCTGAGATTTTGGACCAGCTGCCTTTCTCCCATGCTGCTGGCTCACTCTTTGTTATTGCAAAGTTGCCTGTTTATGCCAGGCAGGCTGTTGTTCCCCACTGAATATTTTGCTTTTGCAAGCACGGTGTCTTGCAACTATAGCTGTAGGCTGATTTAGGAGTAAGATTTAGGAGTAAGATATTCGTGATGGTTGCAGTGAGAAGAATGACCCTGCTGAGCAGCACCCATGTCTTGGAAGCTCATGCTTTGGGGAGCACGTGGCGGTTCCTCTCCTTGCAAATCCTGTCCACCAGGATCACTGATGATCCCTCAATGCCAGTGGAATGGCTTGGACTTGGAAAAGTGCGCTTTGGCTGCAGATTGCACTAGTTTTGTGTTGTTGGAGTCTGAGAATTTCTTCTGACACCGAACCAGGTCACATCAACTCAATGTATTGAGATAGGCCTGGCTTAGGCCTATCTCAAATTCAAGAGGTCATGGAGTAAATCACACCATCTGCTGCCTGGGGCAGCGAAAGTGATTACCTGCAGCGATGTTCCTGGGATGTCTGAACCAGGAGCAGATCCAAATATGGGTCCTCATTCCTGAAGATTTACATTGGTTTCAGTAACTTGTCACCAGATTTCCTCGTATTAGTAACCTGGGAACAAGGTTTTTGTTTGTAGAAGGTCTAAATTAAGAGGATTATACCCAAATCCTGCTTCTGGATGCACCTAACCTTCAAATTCACCTTAGCATCTCAGCTTGGGCAGCTTCTAAGCCCAGAGGATGTGACACATCCCGTACCTTCAGCTCGGCAATATTGGCACGTATCGTTACTAGGTTCCTCTGTTCATTCACAACATGACACTAAACATGAGCCCGCTACACACAGCAAGCAGGAAATATCTATTCAGTGTGTGTCCTCCGCTTCCTCTGGGCTCCGGCAAATCCCAGCAGAGGAGCGACTTATCATCGCTGAGGTTCTCACTTTTGTTTTGCTCAGTGTGACACCTTTTCCCCGCCACCGACGTGTACGTGTGTGAAGATCTTTTCAAGTTGCTCCAAGTGTCTTTCCCCTAAATACACTGTCAGGAAGTGAGTAGAGATTACGTCCTGTCTTTAAAAGCTATTTTCTGCTGGAGGAAAACCAAAATAACTTCCAGCTACAACTCTCCAGAGCCATCTGTTGTAGGAGAGGAGAAAAAAAGGATGTCCCATGTAACCGTCCCCACTGATAACAGCACGGTGATAAACAAATAGTCGTACACGTGCTTCAGAGCCACTCGGTCACCATTCCCAATCAGAGGTTGGAGGCTGTATCCATTCCCATAGATGCTGGCCTACTGGATAGTAGCCGAAAAAACAATTGTACCTGGCCCCCAGCAACAGGCAGTGTCTTGACTGGTAGATATGGTGTCTCCAGATCTCTTAATTGACCTTGACTGTGCTCGCTGCACTTGTGTGTACCCAGCACTGTGTTACCATACGGGGCCCACGTGCAGGCTGTGTTGGCTGTAGGTGTCCTCAAGGCCCAAGGTGTTCGCTCAACATACGGAGGAGTAGTTGAACTTATTCTACAGGGACTTGAAAACTTGCTGTTGTCATGGTATCATTTTATGGCCTCGCTTAAATTGCATACAGAATGTAACTTGTAAAATTTTTCTTCTTTTTCTTCATTAAAGCTTGAAGAAGAATTCCAAAGAACGGCCAACATACCCAGAGCTTATGGTGAGTGTGCCTGCATTATGCAGTGGATTGGTTCAGAGCTGAGATGGATTACAATGAGATGCTGAGGACAGGGTTTCCAATAGTGACTGGTGATTTGGGATACTTGGCATCTCTATTTTCGTAACAGACTGAGAATGATGGCGCTTCAGGGTCTTGGGAGCGTGACTGCAAATCAGAGATGCTCTTGGAAATGTCGTTCAGGTGCTATTCCAGTCAGATCAAAGGAGACAAATGTAAAAGCAGTTAACAGGTTTGCTAAGGGACAAGAATGAGGCTGTGAAGAGTCAGTTAGCAAGGATAAAATCCTCTTCTTGGGTTTGTGTGATGGCTTCGAACACCTGAGTGAAATGGATGCACCACGGATGCTCCACATGGGCTACAGGAGCTGAGTGGCCTGCTAGGCTTTACTGTCGTGGTGCCTTGGAGAGGAGACTTTTTGGACAGAGAAATTCCGGGATGTTAGGGACAGAGACGGGTCTGTGACTAATAATTCCGGTTATTGAATTTCATCTGCTGCTTAGAGACTGTTTGCTGTGAGCATGTCTAGGACAGAGGAATAACTAAGGAAGAAAATGCTGATAAAGGCTTATGACAGGGGAAATGCAAGGCAGTGCAGAGCTTTAAGGTCAGATGCACTTAACTGCTGGTGAACTCCCAGCAGGGCAGACACTGGTGAATACTCAGCCGGAGCGCTGGGCTAGAGCTGGCAAGAACAAGGTCTGTGGTCAGATCTTTCTGCTAGGACTCCGCAGCCTCATGGCCTCTCTCTCTCCTGACTTTCTGGTATTGATCCTGGTGCTCCTAATAGCCAGCAAAAAGCAGGAGAGCTTAGGAAGTCAGTGTTTCACTCCCATAAGCATCTAGTCCCTTTTTCATTCTCACCTGATTGACAGCTTGCTAAAGGCAGGAAGGTGCCTAGGTGTTATTTCTGAAGATCCTGACCCAAATGCTTGCCTGTCCCTACATGCCCACCCCTGTCCCGTGCCCCTGGCAAGATCCTCTGGGTTGAGGGTGGAAACTGCTGCAAAATTTCCTCAGACATTGGTGTCTCCTGCCCCCTAACTTGTAGGACATGCGTTATGCCATCCAGGGGGTCAACCTCATTGCTACCTCATGTTGTCTGCTTGGAGGTGTTGGGACCTCCGTGGTGTGAAGGTGCCGGGGTTTAAGGTGCTCTCTAGCTGCAAGACATGCTGGAAATCCATTTACCTTTTGAACGTGAGTTGTAAGCAATGAATAATTCCTGTGGCATGTCTTGCTGGGCCCTGTAATGCAATTAGACTATATATAGATCTGATTTACACACAGTTTGCCCAAATGCTGATTTCAAACAAAGGGAGGCCTGAGTTTTATGGCTTTTTTTTCCTTTTTTTTTTTATTATTGAATAAATACATATATATTTTAAGCAAATTTCTGAAGTTTGCCAAATGGCCTGTTATCAAAAAGGTTCACCGGAGCAGCTACGTCTGTTGCAGCATTAATACCCATTGGCAAGCGAGTGCATTTCTATTGAATTAGGTTCTTGGATCACCTCTCCAGAGTATCTCAATGCTGTGGTATTTTATGGCTGACATGAATGTTGTGAGGTCCTGTGGTTGAGGGTTGCTGTTTTGTTGGTTTTTTTTTTCCCTCCTCTCTCTCTTATGGCATTAAGTTGCGGTACTGGATTGGACTTGTCATTTAGACCAAGACTGCTCCCTTGCTTTCCCGTGGAATTGAGGTTTCTCATGGAAAATATGACTCTGTTCTATCTTGAGCATCTGGAAAACTGATACGGATGCTTAATTTCATTTTAAAACCCACTTCCCCAGGTGAAGTGGAGCATGAAACTACTGCAGGGCCGGTGGTCTGCACATTGCATGGAGCACATCCCACCTGGCACGGGGTGTTTTGTGCCGTACCCAGACTCAGTCCTTGCAAAAGGGTTGGGGTCATTCAGAGACGGGTCTGGAGGCCACCGCTGCCACCCATGTCACGTTTGTGGGTGCTTCCAGGCTGCGGTAGCTTTGCTTTGGGTCTGACATAGCTGGGATGTGAAAGCAGTGGCATCACGATGGGACAATAACACAGAGGGCCATTTGGGCCATCTCTCCGAGAGTTATTCGGAACACTTTGATTCCCGTGACTGTGTGACCCAGGGAGACCTTAAATTATGTCTGGATCCTTGCCTCAACCCATTTCAGCTCTGTTTCCCACATAATTGTGCTTCCTCTTCCTTGCTGGTGTGTCTTTGTGTTGCTTCCCGGCTGCTCAGAGCTGCCTCTTTTTATTCACTGGATAACCTTCCGCTCAAGCCCACCTTGGAAAATCTCTTTTCTTTGCTCTTCTCCCTCTACTTGGCTATTACCATAAATGATCACTGAAACAGCCAACGCTCAGGGACTGAGGTGAAGGATAGCTTTGAAAAACCCTGGAAATCCCAAATTGTCTTTAAAAATCTGGCTTGAAATGAGAGGGTCAGGAATCAAACCGAGCTCCTCCAGCCTGTGTATGGGAAGCACGGCAGCATTTTACAGAGTGGACGTCACCTGTGAGTCCCACAGGGCCCCAGCCGCCTTTTGGTTCTCTCTGACACCCTCCGTCCAAATAAATAGAATTAACTGCCAGGCAGTGGGTGTCAAACGGTGTTTTGTTGATTTTGGGTGGAAGCTGGCTGATCTCAGCTGACATGTTGCAGCCCCCGGTAGCAAAGTGAATCGCTGGTGCTAGTGGAGAGGGGCTTTGGTGTTGCTGTCAGGGGGCATTTGTGTTTTTTAGTCCTTACACATATTTTTCCGTTTGTGCTGAAATGTAGGCAAGATTTTCTGGCAGGATGTCTTCCCATGTTGGTCACGATTAAGTAGTTAAACATACAACTGCGGATGGCTTTCCAGCCAGGATGGCTTTCCTCTTTGCGGTGGTTAGGGGTAAAGTAGCCATCTCCTGCTGCGAGTATGAGCAATTGCAGGGAAGAAATGAGACTCAAAAGTCACCAGAGGGTAAATACACAGATAAAGCAGGAAGCTGAGGGAAAACCCACTGCAGTCAGCCTTCCTCCAAGGTTTTCCTTGCTCCCGTTGGAGCTGGTGCGCGGTGGGGTGGGTAACCACCGTCTCAGGAGGAGCACATCTCCTCCCGGGGCACCGCAGAGCTGCGAGACGGTGTGTGCCGAAGGGCACGATGTGCTAGAGCTGGAGACAGTGTTTTTTAATACTTTCCCTTGCTTTGAGAGCAGCCCAGCTCAGCCCTCCGAGCCAGGGCAGGGTTTAGAGAGAATCCGAGAGGGCAGCACAAATCTGCAGCCTCCACGAAGTGGCCCCTCGGGCTTCCCAACTTGCCTCAACTGCAAAGCATGGAAAGCCCAATATTATGATGCTAGCGACAAAATCTTTTTCACTGTCTAGAAGGTAGTCTGAAAAGGTTTTCAGTTTGGTCCTCGGTGTCGTGAATAATAAACTTTTCTATTTTTTCTCTCTTTTCTTTCCCAGCAACATCCTTTCTTCACCCTGCACGAATCCAAAGAGACAGACGTCGCCTCTTTTGTCAAACTCATCCTGGGAGACTGAGAACTGGACTTGTAAATGAATTGCCCTTCTGTGGACTGGTGGGTGCAGGGGAGGGGCGCGTGGCAGGACTTGTCATGAAAGCACCAACAGAAAGTCGCCGTGTTTTGTTTTGTTTTGTTTTTATTCTGAGAAACCCCCGCCTCGCCGAAGTTTTTAAAAGGGTTTTTTGGTATCCATAGTGACATAGAAGGAGCTGGTTAGTGAAATGAATTTTAATAAGGTTGGTAACCTTAAAACAAAAACAAAACAAAAAAAAATTTAAAAGAGTGATTTACATATTTAATGACAGTCAAACTCCCTCTTCCTAACTTTCTCCTCATCCCCCTTCCCTTCCCCGTGAACCAGAATTTGCTTTGTCATGGTAATAGGTGCTATGGTAGTCATGAAGTTGTATGTAGATTTATATTTTGTCCCTTCCATTATTTTAATATTTATGTTAAGTGCTTGATGGAATAGATTTCTGTTTTATATGAGGATGAATGCGTGGTGATGACGGTGATGCTAAATGAGGCCACAGCAAGCAATAGTTGTAGGGCTTTGCTGGGGAAAAGGTGTCAAAGGAAAAGAGAAAGAAGAGAAGAAGTGTCTGTGTTGTGGAAAATATTTAATGTGCATCATAAAAAGAATTTATAAACAAGGATTTCAGCTCAGCTACTCAAGCTGCTTTCGCAGCGTGTGAGGCAGCATCACTGTAAGGGAGGGAGGCCCCAGCATCCCGTGAGGTCACCTCTTCTCCAGACACCGCGCTCCGAGTCTGGCCGGCGCGTCCCGGCCAGCCTGCCGCCTGCAGTGCCCTGCGAGCCTCTTGCCTGGGGAAGACTCCTGCCCTGCGTCCCACCGACTTACTCTGCTATATCAGGCGGGTAATGAGGTCTGGAGTGGGCAGACAGTGCTGGGATAGTGTCTGGCACAAAAGCCCCAGAGGGAAATAGATTGTCAGATAAATTGCACAAAGATCAGGAGGAGGCTGCGGTGGTCGGTCCCCACCTGCCCATGAGCCCAGCAGCATTGCAGTGCCTGAGGTTCCCTTGGGCTGGGGATGAGCTGCTTTGGGCCTAAGAAGGAGTTCCTCTCTCCTTCTCCAGATGAGAAAGGATAACAGTATGCATAGCATGACGTCTGTGAAAAACGGGGTATCTCAGCACGAGTTTCCAAGGCTCTCGGCACTGCATCGGCAGCAATCCCTCTGTGCTTGCCCACAGACTTTGGGAGTGCTAGCGAGCTCCCCTGGAGCCTGTGCCGGCATGCGGTTTGGGCCGTGTCCAGCTCTGGTTGGGATGCTGAAGGCAGCCAGGAGCACTGGGCTCCGACACGGGCTGCAGGTGTCCCCCGCGAGAGCTGCAGCCTGGGAAACCACGCAGGGAAACCACAGCCCACCCCTACCAGGAGCTCGTTGCTGTTGGCCGGGTCCTCAGAGAAAAGCTGCTAGCCGAGGGCAGGAGTGCGGGGACTGTCGGGGTGGGAGGGAAGACGGCAGATCACGCTGCTTTTGGGTAACGTGGTTACTGTCTAGAGAAAGGGGGGACCGTGCGCTGCAAGGTGTTGCTGAGTCTGGAGCAAGGCCACTGACTCCAGATTGACACTGGTTTGACTGAGCCAAACCTGCATAGCTTCTTCGCTCGGCTATGAGGTCCTTTGCCTTTGTCCGTGGCTCCTTCCCCCAGCCCTGCAAAAGAGAGTGCCCGTGCCTGCGGCTGCGCTGGAACGTGCATGCCTGCCTCGTGCCTTCCACGTGCTTCCCTTCCCCATCCGTCGCTTCGGCGCAGACTCTCAGACTCAAATCCCAACTAGAAGCATGCCTTGCTCTGCAATATTTAAGTTGTGCAGGATGTAATTCAGCCTGGGATCCAGCCCTTTCTCTCCCAGTTCAGTGGCTCCAGTCTCTGTTGGTGCAGGCTGGGCTCCTGGACTAGTCTGAGCATCTGTTTGGGAAGTGATCCCTTGGAAGGGCTGATGGGGAAGGCAGCATTTAGAGCAGGGGGTCCCGACCGATGGTACCCCTTGTGCTAGGGACGTGCTGACCACTTTGAAGAGGTGCATGTAGACACTGCCAGTGCCTGGGCTGCCACTGTCACTGCCACGGCCGTGGCTGGCAGTGCCTGCAGAGGTGGCTGTGAACCCCAAAATAGTGTAGCTCTGCCCTGCGGCCAGCATCGAAGGAGATAGAGGAGCATTGCTCATGGGGATTTTTCTGTCCTTGGGCCCCTCAGCTGTAGAGCAAGGTGGCTTGAGGAGGGCTCGCAGGAATCGGGGTGTGGGGGTTTTCTTGCTGCGAAGAGTTCACGAGTGACCCAGACTTTGGGGAAGAGCTTCCCCTTCCTTGGCCATGTTTCTTGAGCCTGCCTGGCCCTCGGTAACGATAAGCTCCATATTCCGCTTTGTGTCGAGGGGAACCTTTCAGGTTACATTTTGTTGCGGACGAAACACAAGGTTGTTTTACTTCGCGGTGTAATTTTAAGAGGCCTCGCATGGCTCATAATCTGCCCTCTCATATTCCATGGTGTGTGTGTGTGTGTGTGTGTGTGTTTTCTCTCTCTTACTTTCTCAGAGTCGCAGAGCTGTTTTGATTGATTGTCCTCAGCTGCAGCTAAAAGTCCAGCCAGCCAGTTTATAGAGTTGGTTCCAGCATCAATTCTCGCTTTGAAAAACATGACATTTAAAACCACCCTTTGGTTTTCCTACATATGGATCTGATGCTTTTGTTAAAGATTGTTTTTGCCGCTTTTCTCCTGGAATATAAGTCTCATTTGGACACCACATTTCCTTGACCTCAGAGCACCTTTATTTCAGTGCCATTGTAATTGACAGGTTGAATTTATGAGATACTGTCAAAGTTCAGTATTAATAGCAGATATTAATGTCACCAGCGTTTTCCAATAGAAAATTAATGTCAGTGTTGTCTGCAGCTAGTAAGCCTCTAAAATGATTCTTACATGCCTCAACACTGCATGCTGAGTGCTTTCTTTTATGCTTTTTGCTCTTGCAGTGCTTGGGCCGTCTAATCCCTTTGTTTTAATGACATTACAATAGGGCATGCAACAAATCACTTCACTTCCCTCCTGATTCTCCATGACTTTGTTCCTTTAAAAGTCATTTGTGTAAGTGTGAATCCGTATGACCAGTGTGAAGGAAAAGAGTGATCCGAGTGATCACCACTGCAGAAGGTAGTTATGGCAGGAGAGAAATGCAGAGGATGTCTGTCTGTCTCTGCATCCCTCGTGGCATGTGTGGCCTGACCCAGGATTTTCTTCGAGAGAAGCCTGAGCTGGTGGCCTCGGCGCAGGGACGACAGCCAGGGACTCCTGTGTGCTTAAAAGCTCTGAAGACATGCTGGGCTACAAGATGAAAATCAGATTCTTTTCTCTTTCATTTGATTGTAACCTCTGTGAAGATGAAAAGCCTTCGGTCAGTGCTCAGAACTTTGCTTGGCTATAACATGAGCACAGGGTTGCCTAGGACAGGCATGGTTTCTGGGACATTTAGCCTTTCCCAACAGCCATGCCCCCTGAACAGCCAAGGTGTTGAGGATTAAAGCTGTTCTTCAAAAAGCTCTTTTGTTTTCAGACAGCACAAGACTGGGGGCAGCGTGTTAGATGATTGTCCTGAACTGGGATTTTTAAACTGCCAAAGAAGCAGGTCTCATGCCATATACCAGAAACAAACCAAAACCATGTCAGGGAGCAGAGAGGAGAGAAAAGCTGCTCGGAGCTCGGCACGGAGCTGTGACCTGGACCTGCTGTGTGAATTAATTCCAGCACAGTTAGCCATTCGCAGGGCAGGCAGTGGGGGACCACCGGGGCATGATGTCCATCCTCTTTTTTTCCTCCACCAGACAGCTCCTGATGTTCCCACAACCTTCTGGATGCTTGAGGCCTTGCCATCGCTAGAGCTCTTGAAGTATCACTGGCAGGAAAGCTATTTTCTAGGTCGCCAAGAGCCCACTGGTCCCTTAAACCCGAAAAAGGAGTTGGAGGGCATTTGCTGCTTACTGTTTCTAAACACCAGGTTCGTGCTGCTGCACTGGGTGAAATGCCCATCTTTTCTGGAGTTTTTCCAGGTGTACAAAACTTTACATGGATATCTATGTACTGTATTTCTGCATTTTTCCTGACTTTTGTTGGGTTTACTGGTGAGGAAGGAGGCATTTCTGACTTGTTAAAGAGGTGGGAACACCATTTCTGGAGGCAGCTGGCCTCTCCTGTGTGATGGAGGAAGCAGTTGGTGGGACACTACTCAGAAAAGGCTTTAAAAAAAGATACGCAGGTGAGCTCCCAGTTCTTCAGCAGGTGCAGAGGGAGGTGGCTGGGTGCCTGTTGGGTCAGTGCTAGCTGCACCTTGTCTTGGTGGGAAGGGGCTGCCAGGCCCTTTGCCCATGCAGCAGAGCAGTGCCTGGTGCTGAGGGCAGGGACACCGGCATGCACGGCCTTGGCTGGGATTTCTCTGTGCTTGCTGCAAGCTAAGTATGTACCTGCACATCTCCCTTCTTTCCTAGACATTTTGGAAGAGGAAATCCTGCTCGGTCAACACAGCATTGCTTTAGTGGCTGGTCTGATGTAGTTCAGACAAGGTTCCCACCAGCTCCCTTGTTTTAATAGACCTCTTTTTTATTAAAAACAAAACCCAAACTCCTCTCTCAGAAAAGCCAGCCAAGATGCTCTTTTTTCTCTCTCTTCCATCTTGTTCCTCTTAGAGGAACTCTGGGAGCCCATCTTGGTGCTTTCACTCTTTCACATGCCAAAGATTGCTACATCCCTCTCAGTTATGCTCCTGCCAAACCAGATCTTACAGTCCTGCCTCAAAACTCATCCACTTCCCTGCTCCTTGGGGTTCCTTTTGTTGCTGTTACTTTTTCATTGAATTTCCTCATGTTTATTGACATGTCTATTGTTGAGCTTCCTGGACACATGCAGCTCTCTTTTTCGGATACAGAGAAAGACAAATAGTTGCCTTCACTGGTCTGCCCCTGCTGTTGGGGAAATACTTGTTAGTGATATGATTCCTACAGATGGGGATGGGTCTCATTTAGAGCTAGGGTCATGGAGGGTGTAAACTGGCATTGCTCCATTGGCTTGGCTGGAATAAAGCCAGCTTTGTCCAGCTGAGAATCTGTCCTTAATGTCTAAACAGTTATTACACACTAATAAAGATTAATGATTGTAAATCCCCACAGATTATACATAAAATGGCAAGTTTTACCCATTAATCTTTATTGCCATATTATAGCTGTTTATGTTAGAGGAGTCGTCTCTCTCTGTTCTGAACATGCACTTAGGAGGTGGGGGATGAGTATGGGGGAGATGAAGGGTGGACAAAACAGACCAGATGTCCATGTGTTTTACAGTCTGTGTCCTCCCCCCAAGTTGGTTGTTTCCTTGAAAGCCGTTAACCAGCAGCAAAGGATGTATCACAGAGCTTTGTCTGCTTCGCTGGCCTCTGGCTGAGCTATAAAATCCAGATTGTTTCTGGTGAGAAG